AAGCTTAACTTTGCTGAGTTTGGTAGACTTACTTGGACTCAAGTCAGATGAGAGCTTTTGGGAAAGCTGTGGTTAACTCCTGCTGTAATCTGCAGATCCTTCCCTGATGTAAACAGGACCTCAAGAGAAGAACAAACAAAAATAAGCATTTTAACAAATAGTACATATGTTTTGACTTGATGCAGAAGATTGAAGTTGGAGCCTAATATAAACGAAGGTAGTTGTACTAAATGGAGTTTTGCCAACTTGAATCAGCAGATGGTGATGATCTGGCTCATGCTATATTTTTGTAGTTTATAATTATCTTTCTTTCTTCACCTAGAACCAGATTCTCCCTTTAGGCTGCAAATCTTAATTAGGAAATCCTTCCTCATTAATTGCAAGAAACTCTTAGTTGTTAATTTCACAGAAGAAAAAGAAACCTTACCTACTTCTGATATAGCAGCAGGCGCTGGAGCTGTTTGTTCCTTTGCTTTTAGGGATGATGCTGTTCTTTCCATCACAGTATGGAAGACGCTTCAGTCCTTACCCTGTCTCTTGCTGCCCTGAATTTCTTTTATACTCATTCTTCTTTATCTCCATAGGGATCTCTGTACATGAAACAAGAGGGCCTAGGAGACAACACCAAGTCCAGTTACCTTCACCCCCGCAGCTGCTGTAGCAGTGAACTTTTATCCAAAAGGAACAGGGCCAAACCAGAAAACTGCTCAAAAATCCCAAATTGCAACACTTTCCAAACAGGAGCAGAATAGGAATGTTATCTTGGAGGTAAGTGCAGGAATCCACCAGTAATGTAGACTTTGAAATATTGCAAAACAGCTCTTCATGCCTTTCGTGCTTACAGTCTTTCATGTGGTTGACGAGTTGCGGATAAAAAAAAAGAGCCCTCAGTAAAATTCTTCCTTTCCTTCCTTCCCCACCTCCACCAAGATGATTTCTGCCCTGTCCTGACAGCGCAAAACATCCTGTGGGAAAATTAGTTGGGGAACTGATGGTCACAGAACAGCCAAGGGTTCAGGAAGGAGTAATAGTCTCCTCCGCAGAAAACCTATTTCCTAGTGAGACTGCTGACCAGAAGAGTTTCTGGTTTTTTTAATGTGATGCTTTAGCTTGTATTCCTCATCACCGCACACCCAGTTGATGGACTCACAGGCCAGTTGCCCCTCAGCTCCTTGACTGTGAGTGCTCAGATTGTCCTTCACACACTCCCCACCTCTCTGTGTGCAAGGATATACAGATAAAATCCCTTCCCATCTTCTGGTTTGCACTCTCTGCTTTCAAATGCTGATAACTGTCTGTCTGGAGATGGACAGGACAGTTGCACATGATATAAGGTGATGGGATCATCTTCAGTAAGCAAAGAAAACAGCTGTAAAGATAAGGTACTAATATCTGAGAACTGAAAATATTCAATGAGTGCTTTTGCTTGTAGCCAAAGTCACAGGGTAGAGAGAAACAGTCTGGGAGGTTGTTATGGAAACAAGTCCCTGGAGGTGCCTACTTTGCTTCACGAGGATGCGCTCTGCCTTCAGAAGGAAATAGCTAGACAGACAGACAGATTTGTATTTCGAACATCCAGGAGTGAGTGCTAAGAGCTGAGAACTTGAGGTAAGATTTTTGAAAGCATGTCTGTGATTTGGCGACATGAGTCCTCTGTAAAGTCAATGGCACAGGTACCACTATGTCACTTCAGTCACTTGAAAAAAAATCCAAAGGCTCCTTAATATAAATGTCAAATTCCAGAAGCTCTATAATATATAGTATTATTGATGACTCTGGGACTTCACTGCCTTGCTTTTCAGGAGATGCTTAGAGAAGGATTTACATGCCCAAATGAAAGTCCCTAGGACACAGTTTCCAAGCTTCTGTTGGCTTTTTGGATTCCTCTTAGCTCTAACACAGAAAACCCAGGGAGCAAACACCACTCCTGTTTTACACATTTTCATTTGCACTTTCTTTTCAGAACTGAAAAACGTGGATCGCGAAAAACTGCAAAAAGCTGTCTGTTTGCAACAAAGTTCCTTCACACTGGTGTTTTGTGTGCATGTGCATGCGTGCACATGTCTGTGTGCAGACAACATTCCAGCTAGAAACTCACTGCTGAATTTCACTTGAGAGCAGGAAATCTCTCTACAAGACCATCTCTGTAAGACACATAGGGATTATGCTACCAGTATTTGCCTCACGTCTTTTTTTTGCCAGAGTCTCCATGCCCAGCCGTCTGTCATGCTGGTCGGGAGAACAACCTATTCTGAGCAGAGAGGGCTCCTGCCTGGCAGGGGCAATGGGGTCAGGCCCAAGGGAAGAAACAAGCACAGGAATTTTCTGACGTAGGCTCAGTGTGTCTCATGGCTCCTCCTGTGCTTAACCTGAGTTTTTTATATCTTACTTTGGGGAAACTTTTATCAGCTGATACACTCAGGCATAAAATAACCCCAAACATGGGCATTCTGCTAGGAGACAGAAACAGCCTTGAAACATCCCTCTTAAATAGCAGGTTCTTTTGGTAGTTTCTAGTGTATCTGCTAGAGCAACGTAAAACTTGAAGAAAAGTCACTCTCTTGCACTCACAGAAATTATTTCATTATAGTGACCCTGAAACAAAACTAAGAACAACAGCTTTTTACTGAATTAACTCAATGACAAAGACAACTTTTTACACAAAATCAAGAGATGCCACTATACTGATCCTTCCTCAGTCCCATGTATTCACCAGGATTACTTACCCACATGCTTCAAGGGATGCAGAATGGCTCCCAAGGCCCAGACCATTACAGACATTTGCCTCAGTCCCGATCAACCAAAGAGGAATTAGGCACCTATGTATTCAAGCAAACTCCTCTCAGCTATAGAGCCCTCACCACATCACACTTGTGTCTCCCAGACTGACCTGCAGTAACCGAGACAAGTGGCATTTTGCTACTGACTTCAGCGAGAGAGAGAACAGAGGTTTTAATATAATGGTTGTGCGCTGACCCCGAGGGAGATCCCTGTACATTAGAAACCTTTGAGAAGACAACGGGACTCTGGAGAAATGCAGCAGTTAGGATTTACACAAACAACTTCTACCATATGATCAGGGCCCAGATGAGGAGAGGCCACAATAAAAGCACTCTAGGCATGGAGCCAGATCTCAAGACAATGAAAAACAAGCAGGGTTACAAAGATGCAAACAGATCCCATCTCACAACCAGTTCTATAGTCAATTCTGACTACATTAAAGTATATGCTTTTAGCATTCTTAGCCTTATGGTTGAAAAGCATAATATATACATATACATAAAATGTATTCTATATATTTTGCATCTTGATATTATGTCTGGTTTATGTATTACATGTGTCACATGCAATGTGTAGTACATTCTAATATGCATATCATACAGTATGATGCAAGGCATTAATGGCTGCCTTTGCTTTCATACACATGCACACATGTGAATGCAGAATATACACTTAGATTTAAAACAAGACAGACTTTTCCTTGCAGGAAAATTTGCCAATAGAATCTGAAAGCATCCATTTTTCCCTTCTCACCCACTGGCAGCATTTGAAACATTTTAAAGTTAGGTGTAAGGCAGAGCTGATCAAAAGAATGAAATTATCTGGGAAGCAAAATGTGCATCTTAAGATGCAAATCCCTGGTCCCTTGGCAAACCCAGCACTGCAGGCCAAGCTATGCATTTTGCATTGCTAGCATAAGTTGCTCTCACAAAACCTAGTGCATGCAAAAGACATTGCTGTGCCTTCTGTCCATGAAATACCAAGAACTGGCTAGATCAGTAATACGGCAAAAGGATCTCTTCAACGCTAGCTGTTTCTCCCCTCATTTGAAAGGTCTGGGGTATGCTGTTGGGTTTGTGCAGATGGCTTAGGGGAGTTGGTATCCGTGCCAATCACAATCTCAAATGTTGACACACTTACCCTGGGGTAATTTATGCCTGTGACCCGCTAAATCAGTGCAATTTTCAGACAGCACAGGTGCAGCTGTCTGTGGTTAGGGTTTTTCAGCAATGTCAACAAAATGCCAACATGCAAACTTCCCTCAGCTATACAAACACTTCAATAAAAACGCAGTGGAGTCAATTGCTCTCACATGCCTGAATACAGAACTGGGTATCTGAAGCATAAAGTACATCTCATTAAACGCTATTGTGTGGAGACAAACTGCGGAGATAACAAATGAATTTACTCAAATGCGCCTTGCATCAGAAGGCACTTACCACTATGAAGATTAAGTTGGTACTATAAAAGCCAATTAACATCAGGGCACTGGCATAAATAAGGCTGAAATAAGCTCAAAACATAGAGAATCTTCACCAAGCCTGTTGACTTCTTTAAGCCTGTTTTTGATAACTGGTGTGTGGTCACAAGTAGCAAAGAGCTTTTAGATCTATGCACCTTTTTTGAAACATAAACCAAGAGGATCTTTAGCATGCCAAGGGTTGCAAAGAAGGCAGGCATCTGCTTGCTGACTTTCCCCTACAGCTGCATAACTCACTGTGATGCTGGCTACAGCATTTCCATTATTCAAAGGCAATGGCATGGCAGGCGTGACTGATCCCACAGCTAAGGCCACTGCGCTGGCACAGGAACTAAGGGCACAGCTTGAGCCAGACGTTTGTCGCCCCTTTAACTCTTTACTCCCTGACAAATCCTTCAGCTGAAGTAGTAGCAAGGGCTTCTCTGCTAGTGGAGTAGAAAGGCTAGGTTTCAGAGCAAATATTGGACTAAAGCAGTCTTCAAAAACAGAGAAAGAAATTCACAAGGGAGTGGGGGATGACAGCTAGCACTCCACGGAATAAAGCAAGAACATTTCTGGCTGCACACGGTAATGAGAAACAGCAAATCAGGACAGAAGAGCCCATTGTCACAATCATTCTGTTTACGGTATCACAATTCACAGTCTGGCATGTAAATGCTGAATAGATCCAGCTGCTAGTAGGAAGACAGCTGTGCAGCAGCTTGCAGCTCCGTGTCTGGACCCAGGATAACAAAACTGATCACACCTCTGTCAGCATTTTCTTCTCTTTATAACCCTGGTTGTTGGGAGGAATGAAGTTGGAATATTTCATGGACTCCAGGTCTTCTGCTTCCAGGAATTCAGATTTGCTGAGAGACTGATTGCTGTCCCCCTTCTTGGGCTCAGAGAAAGGTGACTGCTGCTGGCCGCAGGTGACGTGGGTGTACTGGCATTGCTCTTCATGATCAGTCTCTCGGTGGTAGAAGTAGTTGAAGTTGGACACAATGACAGGGACAGGGAGGGCAATGGTGAGCACACCTGCGATGGCACACAAGGAGCCCACAATCTTGCCACCAATTGTCATGGGATACATGTCCCCATAGCCCACGGTGGTCATGGACACCACCGCCCACCAAAAAGCATCAGGGATGCTGGTGAACAGGGAGTCAGGGTCATCAGTCTCTGCAAAGTAGACAGCACTGGAGAAGAGGATCACTCCGATGAAGAGGAAGAAGATGAGGAGACCCAGCTCCCTCATGCTGGCCTGGAGAGTCTTCCCCAAGATCTGCAGCCCTTTGGAGTGCCTGGAGAGCTTGAAGATCCTGAAGACTCTGACCAGGCGGATAACTCTAAGGATGGCCAGGGACATGGCTTGCTGCTGGCCTCCATTGTTGGTGCTGCTGCCGCCAGGCTGCTGCTTCTGCTGCTGCTGCTGGGCCAGCTCGGTGCCCAGAGTGATGAAGTAGGGGATGATGGCCACAATGTCAATGATGTTCATGATGTTGCGGGAGAACTCAGGCTTGCTGGGACAGGCAAAGAAGCGGACGAGGAGCTCAAAGGAGAACCAGATAATGCGGCAGGGCGCAGAGGTGTCGGAGTCCCGCTCGGCAGTGGCGGCGGTGGCAGCAGCGCCTCGTCACCGGGCGGCACCACCTCCCCGAAGCCGGCCTGGGTGCCCTTGGGCTCCTGGCGAAACTCGGGCAGAGTCTCCAGACAGAAGATGACAATGGAGATGAGGATGACCAGCACGGAAACGATGGCGATGGCCCGGGCCGGCCCAGAGCTCTCGGGGTACTCAAAGAGCAGCCAGACCTGGCGCTGGAAGTGGTGCTGGGGCAGGGGCTTCTCCTCCTCTTGAATGAAGCCCTCGTCTTCCCGGAAGGTCTCGATGGCCTCCTGGCCCAGCTGGTAGAAGCGGATCTCCTCCAGGAAGATGTCGAGGGGCACATGGACCGGCCGCCGGAGCCGCCCCCCGGACTGGTAGTAGTAGAGGATGGCGTCGAAGCTGGGCCGGTTGCGGTCGAAGAAGACTCGTTGCG